GCCTTGTATTGTGCCCAGGCTGGTGGGAAGTTTTCTTGAATGGCAGTGGAGAAAATAATAACTGTACGGAGGAAATCATCATTAGCATCATCGGCGTTGTTACTTTTAAAGGGTTTTTACTTTAAGTTTTTGAATGTATATTACACATTTACAATTAATACTCCAATGACATATATCCTAATTTGGGTTTGTTGGTTCAATCATGAGAAAAGCATTAAATATACATAAGTATGTAAAAAGAAATTGTCAAATCTACAGCAAACATATTCAGTCCACTTAGCCAATGACTCAACTCTAAATATATGCTTTTCAAATGTTGTGTTCCAGAGTTATTACGTCAGGAATAACATGTCTAATGGAGAAACACAGTTTTAAGGAAAAATCATCGTAACGAAAATAAAATTCGGCCCTTTGGCGATCTACTGCTGGATAAAGGGCTCCCCATGCTGTCAGTCATTGGGGTTGTTTGACCATACTCCACCCCACTGTTCAATGTGGGTTGGGCCCCAGGGTCGCGTTACCGGGCTTCATAGCGAAACGTCTTGTGAGAGAGCCCCGTTGTACCGCCTTCCTGGGGTGCGAAGCGTTTTCGCTCAAGCGTCCCGAGCGGAGCTGCTCCTGTCCCAGGGTATCGGCCTCCGTTCGCCTCCTCTCCGATAAGGCCCTCTACTTCCTTCCTCGGCGGAGGGGGTTCCCGTGGCCGCCGTGCCTGTGAGTTCTCACCACCTCCGCTCGGGCCCCGGGCCCCGCGTCTGTGCCACGTCAGGGCGGGACGGACGTCTGTCGGCTTGCAACGATTCACTCCCGAGATGCGGTGTTAACTTTTCTTTGCGAAATTATTGTCGAAGGCAATTCTTAATGGCGTATTAAAAAAAATAAATTTGATAGACATACTCAAGAGTGACGATGCATGGCTGACGATGAAATTAACTCCATTAATAATGCTGTTAGAGGTTGCAGTGCAGGAAGGAAGATCGCAATTGGTAATTGGCTATACATGAATATAAACAGTTTAATGCCCTCATTCTGACTTGATAATATTGGGGGGTGGGGCGGGGTGGGATTGTACGCACCACACACCAACATTTAACAATTACTAGTGGACTAAATATTTAAATATTTGATTTATTCAATGAATTCCACAGACTAAAGACCTGACTGAAAATCCCACAGGTTAAATTCAAAAAACTTAAGACTATGGCTGCAGAAAAAAAAATGCTGACTAAATGAACACGTGCCGGGATTCCAGCAGGGCTCAGTGCGAATCTACGGAAACCCGCCGCGCACGTGTCACCCTGCACCCTGGCACACGGCGCGATCTGCAACGCCACGTCATGTTCCAAGCGTGCGCGCGTCTCTAAGATGTCCGTGTGTCGGAAAACAAAGGCAAATTGTGGGTGTAGAATTGTAAACAGCTCGCGAAACGGGTTCAGGCGGGTTCATGTGTATATGGGCAGGGAGAGGGTGAATATGGCGAGCAAAATAGGACAACAAAAATGAACGGTATGCGTTTGGCAGCAGTGCGAAAGCACAAACAAATAACGCATCGGCACATTCGTCATCAGCACTGCCTTGCAACAGGAAAATATGCGGCCGGCTGATGTTTCGGGCTGGGGCCCTTGTTCAGACTCGAGATCTTCTGACCGTTCTTCACTGCAGCCAGGTCACCCTGCGTGGTGTACGCTCATGGCTTAACTCGTAGGTTACTTTTTATTGATATTCTTAGGTTTTTTCGGTAAAGTCACGTAGGTAAAAAATTAAATTAAAATTAATAAAAGTAAAATAAAAACAAAATAAAAATCACGACGTTTCGGAGGCAACACAAGCTTCCGAAAAAACCTAAGAATATGAATCCTTGCAGTCACGAAAGCTTCAAATCTAGATCTACTTTTTATTGACACAATTATATAGAATGTCTCGTCAGGTGTTGCCCTCCATACCTCACTCGCCGCCCCTCCCCGAGATTTCTAACCTTGGCCGAGTTGCTAACCGACACGATCATTTCGCCCAGTTTGTAATTGCAGTGCACAAGTATGTTGTTGTCGTCGTTGGATCATAATCTAACGGCTCGTTACAGCCCGGCCTCTTCGTGCAACGCAGGGTGACCGTTAGGTCTTTGTGACGCGTTGTCGGCCGCCGTTGCCAGTGTTCTCGCTTAATAACATCATTAGGCCGGTATGAAAACAGCGCGCGTTAAAAAGCCATTTGGTTCCCATTACCTAGCCGCTGTATTCACCGTAATAGAGGCACCCGTGGAATTGTAGCCAAGCGTTCGGGATTTGAAATGTTGTATTAACATCTTTGTGCATATGCGTGCCATGTGTCGTGTCTCTATGTATGTCACGTGTATTTATGTATGTGTCTTCATATATATTGTCCTTCCCGTACCTCCGATTAGCACGGTAGGCTGTGTACGGTGCGAAAGAACTTCAACTTATATACATAACGTGCATGCATTAAACATACATGTAGCCAAGTGGCGAGTGGTGATGTAGTGGTTAGTGTGTTGCGTTATGGACCCAGCGACATGAGTACGATTCCTGGCCTTAGCTAACATCACTGGCAAGTGGTGCTCGAACCAATCGAGTGCATTTAAAAAATAATATGTATTTGCACTCGGGAGACAAAGGTGGTCGGGCATGGTCATAGCCAACCACCTCCGCATGCACCGCGCTGGCTTTAATTGGTACTCATTAATATGTATGTACGTTGAAATTATTTCGCATCGTTCGTTGCCAACCGTGCTAACCGGAGGTGTGGGGGAAGGACAACAAACTAAACACAAAAAGCAGTACTAAAGAAATTAGTTTTCAATCTAGATTATTTAAAAGTGCATAGGTCCAGTGGCTTCCTAATATCGGAAGGAAGAGCGTTCCAGACGGCCGCAGAAGCGCATCTGAAGGTGCGCGATGCGGTGACCGCTGTTCTGTACAGCTTCTCGAGGTGTAGTGTATTCCTGCAAAGTGAATCAAGGCTGTATTTTAATTTTCGTCGATGAGAATACCAGGTGTTGTCGGCTTGGTCTGTAAGGTAGCCAGGTGATCCCAATCCAGCAGTGGATTGAGTTCATCTGTGTGGAGCTCTGGAAAGTTGCCTTCTCATATGCGTGGGGTTTCACCGGGTACTCCGGTTTCCTCCCACATGCCATAAAGAGCTTATTCAGGGAAATGGCAAAATAATTCCAATGCAGGACCCTCTTGAAAATAGTCTTAGTGAGGCTTTTTTGGGTATATAAAGCACGTAAAAAAGAAACAATTGAAATGCATTTCCATAAAAAAAGTGTCGTGGACACAGACTTTTCAGAATGTGTCATTGGCGTTTATTATTATTATTTCATTTTTTTCTTGTCCTGCCGTGCAAAATAATCAAGAAAAATGAAAAATAACTGAAAAATAACTTGTTCTTTTAGGATCGCCCCTATTTTCTGGACGGATTTTTTAAAAACCAAACTGAGCCCCAGCACTGCCCCGGGCATAAATCATAAAAAACTGTGACGGTGGCTCGTGGGAAATGCCCGGGGCTGACCACCTCCCAGGGGCACATGCAGTGTATTGCTTTGGTCTTCACCGATATGAGAATGTATGTATGTTGAACTTCTTTTCCAGCGTACATTACCAACCGTGTTAATCGGAGAAGCACTCTATTTCGGCTGCATAGCATCATGGGAAAACCCAGAATATCCGCGAGTCGGCAGAGGGCGCGTGTGTGCATGAAGCAGCCTCTTCCCGAGGGTTCCCCCTCTGCAAAGGCTGACAGCGTGACCTTTACAACATTTGTGGCGGTGAAGCAATGTGGCATTGAAAGGGTGCACCATTTAGGAATCATATACAACAACAAAAAATATCCACAAATTCCCCACGATTTTCTAGAGAGCACCTTATTCGGGATCATCACTGCAGTTTAGCCAATTTTACCTTGCCCCTCCACAAATCACGCCTGGGATCTGTACAGGAAACAGCCTTCCTCCCCCATGCTGTGGAGACCTCCATAAAAAAGATGAATTAGCACAGCCTGAGATTTGGATAACATTGTTACTCCGTTGTAAGGGGATGCTCATTAAGTGGGGCTGTAGGGGGGCCTCACGTTATTGGGGAGCCGGTAACGGTGCCACACTTGGGGGCCACTGTTAGTGAGCGGTATGGGCTAATGCAGTGGTGGTTTGATGACACGGTGCTGTGAGGGCCCTCTGTTGGCGCCTGGCCCTGCTGAGTTGGGCTCCACCCCGCATGCCGCAGTCTTCGTATTAATTTTATAGGTGGGGGGGGGGGGGCTGCAGAATGGCAGCATTGTAACGTGTGTTCCATGGTTGGTTCAGCGCAATGTACTATTGACTTTCTAAGCAGGATCGTTCGCATTTCAGCCGGGCAACTTAATGTTGCTCCCCGCTAGAAAAATGAAGCAGGATCCTTTTAAAATATGTTATAATAATTTTTTTTGTATTTTTTATGACGCTTGTAAAATTCATAAACAAAGGGCTCCTTCAAAAAAAAAAAGGCCCCCGGGTAGCGCCGGGCATTAATTGCAAGAATCCCCGAGCACCATGGGTAATGTGTATCACCTGCGCACCGCTATGCGCTTAATGGGCGAGCCGCTACCTGAGTTTGCTCGGTGCGCGTGTTTTATTACGGCGCGGTATTTAGGCGCGCGATATAAATATAAATCAAGCGCCCGGCATTTTTCCACCTCGCCTCAGAGGCCCCCGTTCAAAACTTTTTCGGGCCCGTTTTTATTTATTTTCCCCTCGCGCTCCTCGGCGTGGCACAAACGATGCTTTATTGAGCGCCCTAACAAAAAACAGCATTTAGCTGCGGCGGCGCGCGACCGTGCTGGGCGCCCGTGCGCGGGTGGGGAGTGCGCTGGGTGGAGCGGCTGTTTTGGGATCGGCGAGCGAGGAGGGGAGGGGGGCATCTCTGGACTTTGGAGGCGCCGAGGAAAGTGGCAGCGGCGGTGTTGGTGGCGGCGGCGGTGGTGGTGGGGGGATTGCGTGGGGAGAACGCATGCCGAGTGGGCGGAGGCGAACGAGCGAGCGAGGAGCAGCAGGAGGAGGGCGTGCTCCCACGATGGGGCTCGTGGCGGTGGCGGCCTGTATGAAATTATCCACGGGGAGGTAACGGACGGGAGTTTTTTGGGAGCTTGCCGCCGAGTCTGCAGTGGACACGTGGTGGCCGAGGTGGTTTGGGTTTCCAGCGCACCGCCCTCTCGCCGGCGCCGGCACGGACTCGCTTCGTTGCGGAGGAGACGAAGACCTCGCTCACTTGGTCGTCGAGGAGGACTGGAAGAGAAGTTCTCCCTCGCGCCGTGACTGAGAAGGGAAACAAATCCGTGTCAAATCAGACAGAGCGCTTTGACTCTCCAGACCTGGTACCGTTTCACCTCTGCTGCGGAGGAGAGAACGCGGTGCCGGCGCGTGGCTTGCAGCAGACGGGGAACGCGCTTTTTCGCTCTTTAGAGCGAGCTGCGTGACGGACCGGACTCCGCTGCTAATCTACATGAAGGTAGGCACTGAACGGTCTGCCTAGTTCTCAATTCTAAAGCGTATTCGTAAATATTATAACTTGCCTGCGGCATCGCCTTACAGAACTGTTATACTCTTTGGTTCTTTGGGTAAAGTCACGAAGATAGAAAAATTATAGATCACGACGTTTCGATCGCAACACAACCAATCGTCATCAGGTGAGACAAACACAGCAGGAGAACTGCTGAGGCAGGAGAAAGAGCTGCTGCAACAAGAGGTTATTTAGGCTTGAGGTGACTTTACCGAAATAACCAAAGAGTATGGATTCCTGCAGTCACGAAAGCTTCAAATCAAGATAGAACTGTTATATAACGGTCAGATGGTATAGATTTATTGGAATATGTAATTGTTCCTTCGGTTGGAGTGATGGCGCAGTGGTTTGCGTACTGCACAATGAATCCGGTGACCTAAGTTCAATTACCAGCCACGGCTAATTTCAGTGATGAGTGAAATCGGAAACCGTTCATGGGCTTTCTTCATCAGCCATCACTGAGGATTGTGGTGAAGTATGGTCAAACAACTCCCATGACGGTCATATCGTTGGTAGGCCTTCGTCCAGCCAGCAGTAGATTGCCAAAAAGGCTATAAATATGAATTAATCATGGTTATTTTCCCCCTCACCTCTGTTAGTGCCATATGCCATTGGTCAGTCCTTGATTGTTCGGTGTGATCGATATCCACGGTGAGATCCATCTGGGACGCGTTAGAGAAGCAGCGACAGCCGAGCGCTTGCTCTGCCAGTGGCTCCATGTGCCTCTCAACCCCTGGCTCTAACTCGTCCGTATCTTATGCGGCGATCGGACATAAGGCTTCTGGCCCATGTCGTCATACATCTAGGATGTCCGACATGACTTGTTCCTGTCGGCTGCAGGAGTCGCTTTGAGTTATAGGAGACTCTGCCCTCGTCCCCGTGCACCCCGTGCGAGTGGGACTGCTTGATGCTAGCCGAGCAGCCGTCTTCACTAGTTGGTGAAACGATGGAAATGCAGCAGCGAGCGTGGATGGCAGGCGCTTGGTATCCCACGAAGAGTCCACTGAGTGGCAAAGTGATGGCGTGATGGAGAACGCACTACACTACCGACATCAACAGGGGTCTATCTACTACGGAGCGCACACACACGTCTGATTTTGCTTCAATTGGCAAAAACATTCCACAGCATGAGACCGTTATCCCAAGGATGCAGCCCTGGGTCCAAGAGACAAAGCAGGTCTTTGATTTATGTGTTATGGGCTCTTGTGTGACGGTACACAACACATTCACATCTTATTACATAAAGTGATCAACAAGGCATCTTATTTTGAGCAAATGTGCATTATTGTTTTTACGTGATTTATAGACCCGACCACTGGAACATTGTGGAGTATTTCAGAGCGGCATGCGATGGCTATGACAATTCGTCTTTACAGTCAGTCTTTCTTGCGTAATGAGGTCAGCATCTCCAAACTCAAACGAGCATTGGGCAGTACTGTCCTCGTGTTCACCGTCATTCCTGAGCCAGTGTTGGAAATTCCACATTCCTCTCACACGAAGCAGATTCTCTACAATGCAATCACCGTGATAGTTAGCACAAGGCGATAATCAATTTGATCAACCGTGGATGGACAATGGATGGGTCGAGTCTTCCCACGTCCGAGATTTGAACTTATGACCCTGCGACAAGTGAGGCGGGCGCGCTGCCACGGTGCCACCCGGCTGAGAGCAAATTAACTTTTATATTTATACATCGTGCGTCTGAATGCCCCCCCCCCCCCCCACCAACGACCAGGAAGGGGGGGGGGCAACTGGCCAAGTGGTAGGAGCTGGCCAGGGGGTCTGTGGTCGTCCTTGCCCGCTGGGTATTATTAGGGGAATGGCGCATGACCCTGCGTAGCCTCGGCCTTACCCCCCTCACTGAGGCCATGCCTCTCAGCTGTGCCGACTGCCAACACGTTTGATAAATAGCAACAAGAATGGCTTTTACTTTAATGCCGCGTCTGGTACACACGCAAGGTAATGCACACTCATCAGACTGCCTTGTCGTGAATTGTAATGAATTCACGAATTGCGTAGAGTTTTACTCTCCCCTGTAGGTGGTGCTAAAAAGCGATCCGATTTACCGTTGCTCTCAAAAATACTTTGTAATCCAAGAGTCGTAAAGGCAAATTGTTCTCACATTGAAATGCATGCGAGGCCACGTGCATATATTTGTGCAATCCCAAGTGATTGGTGAGAAGTCAACATTCCCATGGCAAGTCAGTATAGCCATAGGACGCAGCCACACCACGTGGTGCTAATTTTACCTGCCGTGGAGTGATGATGATGAATATGAGGTTGACGACGAGTCTCAGTTGATCTTGGCAGTTATTTGATCTTGCACATAGGAGCGGGGGATTTCTCTTCCAAAATAACCCGAGTCTTGGCCATTGACACAAAAGTGAATACTGATGTCCGTACTAGAAATTAATTCGGCGAGTGGCTTCTGAGCAGTGCCTTTGGATTGTCTCCAAGAGTAAAATGCTCTTCTGTTGCAATAAATCACACAACGGCAGTAAAACCCGCACATTGCACGCAGCAATCCAATCTGCATATGTGGGAAACAGACGGGGAACGCAGGTACGGGCAGAAAGCATTAATCTCTCAACCATTCCTCATAGTCTCCTCCGGCTCTAAATGAGCCCGAAAACCAAACTGTGAGACCATTTGTTTTTCAAATCGCTTTGCTGGCGTACGTGCCTCTCACGAGGATGTTTTTTTCCGGGACCATGACGAGCAGATGTCACTTGACGAGGGGCTAATTTAGAGTGGGGCTTGCGAACAGCAGCCGCCAGCGCGGGGCCACGCCGTGGTCACGCTCCACCGTCATTGGCCTCGCGTTCCAGCAGTGCGGCCGATGTCCATGGGGGTGAGTTGAGAGCGAGGTTGGAGGGGCTCGAGGGGGGTGGGTGGAGGGGGGGTGCCGGCAAACAGCTGACATCGGGGGCGATGACACGCGCCTGTCGCTTGCTCTCCCTCTCTCTGTCTTGCTGATGACGCGTCGGCCATGGGACCAACGAACTGGTTGACTTCACTGGCACTTGAGAAAAACAAAAGTCGCTCACTCTGCGGTGGCGGAATGCACGAGGGAGCCGGAATGTCCTGAACACCAGTGGCAGCTCAACAAGAGGGGCCGTGGTCTGCCGAGTTGCAGTTTTTGGGGAGCGTGTTCTGGTAAATGATTTTTTTGGGGGGCTGGGAGGGTCAAGGTCAATGAGCTTTTGCCGTAGCGAATGTCTTGAGGTTTATGAGCCTGGATCAGCACCTTCACACCCTCCCTATCCCCCACCTGGCCTTTGAGCCGTTAACATTTCTGCAACCCTTCTCCACCAGCAAATCACCCTGGGAGGTGATCGCATAATTTTCTCACATTTATCATCGTGCCAAGTCACTGACTGGACTACAGCCTCTCAATACGCCCGACGGTTCGCCGACCGGTTCTCAACTCTCGCCTACGTACGTGCGAGCAAAGTTTTTCTCTCCCCAAATTCACCGCGCGAGGCTCCACTGCCACCGCCACTGTGAGCCAGTGGTGCTCGGCGGAGGAGCCGGAGGAATGTGGCGCGAGGGAGCCTCGCGTCCCCGGCCGCGTTGTTTTGCGTTCTGCGCAGCCGGAGCTGTCAGGGATGACAAACGAGGCTTGGGCCTCTCGGCCCCTGATCGCGCCGCGACTCCCGGCCGTTGCCGCGTCGCGCATCTGCAACGCATTTCTCTGAGCGGCTGAGGACGGAGCAGGCTTCAGCGCGCCGGTCCGGTTCCTGAAAAGGACTGAAAAACGCAGCTCCCCCGTCTTGCCCGTCCAGTGGTGGGGCGGAGGTGGGCGTCCGGAATTTGCTGCCGTGCCGAATAAATGCATTCCGAGTAGAAGGACTCTCTGTGTGCGCGTGTGTTTGTGTGTGTCCTCAGCCCGTTAGGCTTTCACAAAAACGAGCATTGACTTGGACGGGGTAATTGGTGTCACAAGATGTGCGTGTCGGAGCATCGGGACTCGTGATTTTCGGCAGCCGGGGTTACGTGTAGACGCGGGGAGGGTGGCCATGCCCGCCGGATTCCATTCGGCTTGTGCCAGCACGTGCCCTAAATGGAGATGAGACTGCGTGCTCTCTGGCAGCACTCGCCGCTTGTTTTAAATATCGCCATCACGTCAATCACATGCATCGGCGACGGAGGCACAATAATACACTCGCTTGTCTGTTTTGTGCAGCAGCAGCAGAGACAGAAGCTGCTTATGTACAGTCCACTCACTCACAAGATGTTTATTTTGTGGATCAGTACATGCACACAACGTTTTGGGATGGAGTGGCCCAGTGGTTAATGCAATGCGCTATGTACCCCGTGACCTGAGTTTCATTCCAGGCTGTGGAAAACGTCGATGGCCAGTGATATCCGAGCTGGTTTTGTGCCCCACCACCTTCACTAATCCACACTGACCAAAACCGCGTGGATGAGGCTTTATCCAGCAGTGAATTGGCTAAGGCTCTAAATAATTTAGCACATTATTTGTTTAATATTCAATCACCAGAGATCTCTCTTATTATAGCCCTATGACCTGGCAGGCGCTATTTGTTACCAAGCCGCTGTGACGAGTGGCACAGCACATGGAAAGGTGGCTTGACCAGGATCACATGCACCTGGCCACCTTTGTTTCTCGACGGCTGATGATTATATGAGGTCACCCATTTTAGGCTGAGTAGGCCGAGGGAAGAATCAGGTCAGATCCCATATATCCACGCATTGATGTGGCATTAAATGCACACAGTGCAATGTAATTCGCGCATTAGTGAGCGATTATTTATCTTACCACACAACTTTGTAAGTGCTCCTCCTGTGTGCAGTTGTATATGTGCTTGTGAAATAATTTTCCTGAACAAAAAAGACATTCAAAGTATTAAATGTGTGGTCTGAATAGATGCTTGCTAACAGAAATTGCCCAAACACTCTATAAGGTTGTATGGGAATCTTTGTGT